GCTGAGAAGGTATTGGTTTTACTATGATGTGTTTTTTTTTGTGTCTGTTACCACTTTTTCTCAGCTCTCACCGAACCAATTTCTTTTAACGATACGTCAAAAAAACACAAATTGTATCTAGTTGAAGACATTACCCTTAAAAATTGAAAAAAATTACCTCGTTTCCCGTTAATGGGGGTAACCTCCAAAAAAATTACAAATTTAAAAATCGCTAATTTTCAAAAAAATTTTCAATTTTTTTTACTTAAAATTAATATAACTTTTTCAAAAATGAACATATCAATATAATTCTTTTTTATATAGATGCATAATATCATTACCTTTCATTTGGTATATTTTTTTCATAAATTTAACCCTTAACCTGCCCATAAGGGGGGATTTAAAATGACAACTTTTTCACAAAAAATTAATTATTTCAACTTGATTTTTGAAAATGTTCCGGAAGGTCTGACACTTTTATATATATCTTAAATTAAAGCTAATGTAATATACTTTATCATGAAAAAAAAATTTCGGACTTTATTTTGTCTTCACGGTGAAAATGGCTACCAAATGCTATTATTGTGTGTAAATTCTCGATTTTATTTTTTACATTTTTAACTTTATAATGCTATAACTTATTGAAAAAGGTATGGATCAATATAATTTTTTTATGGGAAATACTATTTTTTAATATTCCTTTTTTCATTCGACTTACTTTATCTTAATCAGGATATTAATAATGAATTAGCAGATCATGTAGCTTTTGGAATAGTCCACAAATTTTTTAAAATTAAACACTATCTAAAGATTTGCATCGAAGCGTTTTTTTTTTATAGTGATTTTAATCACTGTCAGATATCATTATACTTGATCCATCTATTTCACGTCACCACTGTGCCGCGACCCCCCTGTGCTGGGTTTTTAACTTTATAATGCTATAACATATTGAAAAGTGTATGGATCAACATAATTTTTTTATGAGAAATAATATTTTTTAATAATCCCTTTTTCATTCGACATACTTTATTTTAATCAGGATATTAATAAGGAACTAGCAGATCATGTAGCTTTTGGAATAATCCAGCAATTTTTTTAAAATTAAACACTATCTAAAGATTTGCATCGAAGCGTTTTTTTTTATAGTGATTTTAATCACTGTCAGGTATCATTATACTTGATCCATCTATTTCACGTCACCACTGTACTGCGACCCCCCTGTGCTGGGTTTTTTTTCTTAATATCGTCATTACTTTTTGAAAATGTTCCGGAAATATTGTCCTTTAAACATATGTTAAATTAAAAATTGTACTACATACTACAAGTTAAAAAAAGTTTTGTCCCGACACCTTATTTTCTATATGCAAATGTCGCTGAAATTGAACAAAAAATGATAATTTTGTGGAAACATTGCTGTTTGATATATAATTTTTATTTTTAACTGTTATAAATTATTGAAAAATGAATGGATAAAAAATGTCATAAAAAGTATGTCAATGAGGGGGTAATCATTTCCCTAAATGACTTCCATTTGACAGCTATTGTTATTTATCTAAATGTTTACGATACTTCCTTTAAGCTAAATCTATTTCGGCCTTTTTAGACTACCGTATTTTTATTTCACATTCTTTTTCACAACATTATGAACCTTTGTTTGACCTTATTTGGTACTCTCAACAGTAACAGCCGAAAAACAATTAATGGTACCCTAGTTTTCGCAATTAGTTATTATTTTTGCTACTAAATGGATAATGAACAATAATAATTATTCCAATTTTCCTCTAAGGAATTATTAAGCTCTATTTTGGGAAAATTGTTTGTACAATTTACATATAGAGGATATCGGGTACAAAAGTATTATAATGGGTCAATTGTAATTAGCCAAATATTTTCTTCCGTGATAATTATTTAGAACCGGTTAAAATCCCTCGCTGAGAACTATTGTTACGAACAAAACAAAAATAGTTGTCACAGACGTTAGAAGAAGGAATAAGTTCTCTCCTATTTAATAATTAATTCCTTTCTGTAAAGTCATTTTATGCAATGAAAACTAACAAGTAGTGATCCTCGGTTAAAGATGTTAGTAAAAATTTAAAAAACTGTTAAAGGCAGGAAATATAACTTATATAATGATTAATTTTATGAAAATGTTAATACAGTTTCATTATTTTCAAAATATTTAAATTAAAAACACAACTATTATAATATTTTTGAATATACAATTATCTGATACTTTTAGATACTTTGAGTAGATTAGTATATTCTATAATTAAAACTAATTTTTTTGGAAATTTTTTTTTATTACCAAGATTGGACGGAATTTTTTCAAAGTTATGGCGTCGATTCAACTAGATTTGTTTTGTGAACTTTTGACATATTGTTAAAGCAAAAGTAGTCCATTACGAGCGGGACTGATGGCCTATACGGATACAAACAAAACATGACAGTCAATCCAATAGTTTCTTAGCTACGTATCGAAGCTAAAACTTAAAAACTTAATTATGTAAAAAATTAGTTCAAAGTTAATCTCACAGTGACAGAATTTATTTTCATAATTCGAAATGTAATTATAATATATACGTAACGTAAATCTACACAAGAAACGCTCTTAACCTGAATGTTATAATTGAGTTTAATAAAAAAATTCTATTTTTATTTAAGAGAATTATATACTATGAAAATTTTTTTAAAGAAAAATGATTATAAAAAATAATCAAGCAACAATCTACGAAAAGGGCAGCTGTTTCTCTTTGTGGATACCCAATATCGCGACTAATTGTTAAAATCATTGTAACCGACATTTTTTTCAAAAACGAGATTTTATAGTAAGTTTTAAGTATAAGTTTAGTTATGCAACTTTTTCAGTTTGAAAGTATTCTCTTTAAAATTACATCATTGAGATGACGTTTAGTAATTATCACGTGTTATCGTGATTACTTTTTTGTTTCTCCTAAACAATTTATAATTTAGTAGTTGCGTGTTACTGCTGTAACAGTCAATAGTTTTTGAAATGTTGAACAATTATAATAATTCGAAATTTCTGATTTTATTGAATCAAATTTGCTCAGCTATATTTCGAAATGTCTCAAATTATAACTAGTTAGTTATAATTTATAATTTATAGTAAAAATGAACATTTTTAACGGTGATCAAGGAAACCAGCTAGCTGTGCTAAATTTATAACTTTAAATCTAGCCAACTATGGTAAATAATACTAGCGTATTATGTATCATAATACGTTATTGCTCAACATATATCAAAAGATTTTAATAATCACTTGAATATAAAAATAAGGATTACGTAATATTTAAAAAAACTGGTTTATAAATATCGTCATAGAGTATTACAAAATTAAATAATAAATCACTTTAAGGGACTCCAAAAATTTGACAAAATAAAAATACTGTTAATAATTTCTACGGTTCTTTTTAATTGTGCTGCCTATGTAACATAATTTTAATAGGACATTATTAAAATCTTAAAAAAGTATTTTAATAATTTCTTTTAAAAGGAGTAATTTATGAGATTGAAGTATCATTTAAAATTAAAAGTAAATACTCGTATAACATCTTGTATCCAATTGAAGTATTTTTAAATTTTATCTTCGTACATTATGAGTACAATTTTAAATGTGAAGTATTTCAATATTTTTATTAAAAAGTTTTTAGTACTTATTTTGAATAATTTATACGTATAGTTTATAATAGTTATGCACTAATTTATAGTTTTTATAAGTTAATCTACTTCTAAAATTTATAATTGACATTTTTTATTTTTTTTAATGATATAAAAGTGCAGTAAAATGGAGCTACTAAGCATATTTAACATAATATTAGACTAAAAAAAAGAAATGCTTAATAAAACAGATATAAAAATAGAGACAAGAATATTAAAGTGCATAATAAATGATTCTTTAATTATTTATAAACGATTACGTTTTTGATGTTAACTTTTAATATTCTAATTCACCCCAAAAATAGCTCTTAAATTTAAAATTAAAAGTTGTTCTGTTCAATAATATATGACTTTTATTAGATGGTAAAATCATCAATTATTATAACGAAAGGTTAACGAACATTGAATATCCCTTAAGCTTTAATAAAAGCATCATTATAAATTATTTAATGTAATGACTTATCACAAATACGACTATTGTGTACAAAAAGGTTTTTTATAAAATATACCTATAGTACCTACATAATAGTACTTATCATTATGTAGACATATTTACTGAAACGTCAACCGCGCACAATAATCTCCGAAGTCTCTAACACTTTAAATGATAGAAAAATAGTACTCCAATCACAACGTATTCTATTTACTCGTTTTGTTGTAAATTCCATTGACAATTGAAATTTTCACACTAAACGCAACAGTTTATATCTCACGTAAAATCTATCGAAGGTAGTGTAGATAAGACATAGACACAAAGTAAATATAAATAGCAAAGCGTGGCCATCAAGTTCGTTGATTTTTTGTTCACTTAAGTTTTTTTAAGTAGTATGAAAAAGTGTTCATTAATTTATTTTGTTGAGTCTATTTTGTTGTAAAAATACAAATTATTATATTGAATACAAATTACTTCTAACACTGTGTGTGACTTCTCTGTGAAATTGAGTTTATTGTTTTCTAGTCTGACGGCATTTACACAGCTGGCTTTGGCCAAATGATGACGATCATAAATAATGGTAAATCATGTTTTTCGACTTAAAATAGCGTGGTTAATTTCTATAAATGATTACCCAAAGAAATAAGTTAACAAACATCTCAAAATTCTATACATATTAACAGGATTAGTTAATATTTCTTTATTATGATCTTCAAAAAAAATACAAAATGTAAGTATTTTACTATCACTGATATCAAGTATTTATCTAAATTATTATAATGATTAATACATAACCATCGATATACCTAGTTAAAGCGAATTAAATGCTAAAAATAATAATTATAATTGTTAAGTATTGAAGTAACTGAATATATCAAGTGAAATCGACAATTAGTTAAATAACGACTATTTTAGTTTGACAATCAGAATTATCAACATTTTATCAATGATATTTCGAGTATCTAAACATGAAAATGAATTTAATAAGTGCAACATAAATTTGTAAGCTAAATATTATCAAACGATTTCGTGTCCTAGAGAGAATACCAAAATAATTCATCCATACTTAGTTAAATGTAAAGTAATTTATGTGTAAACAAAATGTAAATAGCTTATTTTTTACCGATACAACTTTTTTAACTAATATTCTGTCTTAAACTAACGTTTAGAATCGAGATAGATTTGGGAATTAGTTCTCGCAATTAATACACTTCGCGGGGATTAATTAGTACTAGACCTCAAATTTTTTTTTCAATAGATATACATGGAAGACATTTAAAAAAATAAGGAATCGTCTGGCAGTAAACAATTTTTGTCGTTCTCTTTTTATTTCTTCCTATAAATTAAATTTAAATATATATTATAACATTTTTTTTGCCTTTCATTGATGAAACTATACACCCAAAACTAAGAAAGTTATATATATTGTTGTACAAAAATATTTTTAGGGTATAATAAAAATTAATTAGCACCAACAAAAAATATATTCTAATTGCATCAGTGTATCTAGATTATTGCGGTTCTGAAAAATCATGTAAAGCTACCCTAAATAAATACAAAATAAGTTAAATATTTTTTTGTGATCATTAAAATTTCATAATTCGTCTTTGAATAGATGTAACAAAAATTACGATAAATATTATAACAATAGATAAATATTTTGCGCGCATAAATTGCAACTAATAAAGCTGTAAAAATATTTTTATTGAATTTTTGCAATCCATAGATATTAAATGAATGTTCGCTTAATTTGCAAATAAAAATATCTACTAATTTGCTTGATTTTATAGTTGTCATATAATAAATTTTAAATATATTAGTTGTAAACAAATTTTATTCGTATTTTCCAAAAAATCAAAATTTATTATTTGCAATAAATAATAGGAATGTGTTTCTCAATTTTTTTGTGTTAACATAATTTTATTGTTCAAATATATAATATAAGGCTTTTTTGATTGTACAAGTTATCTTTACTAACCTACAAAATTATAATATTTTTGTCATCTCTTTTTTATATACAGAATGATCGGTTTTCATAAACCACTCGGTTACTCTTAAAATAATTACAATATTGAAAAAAAATTATTAGTTTTTTTAGTTACAAATATTTCTTGATTTATTTGCTATTAGTTACTTTATAGGATCATCCTTTGTAACGTATAGTAATGTCAACTTTATTTTTTAAATGGTACCATACATATTTAACTAATTTATAAAATAGGAAATATCTAATTAAGAAAATGACTGGTTAATAACAATTTTTGGACCAGTATTTCAGAAATTATTAACAATTTAAAGTAATGTCAGGAAGCCAGGAGTAGGTGCTGCTTTTTATCACTAGTCATTTCCTGTCCGCACTTTTCGTCCCGATTTTATATACAAATGAGAATAACATCCGAAGTACTAATACAATCTATGGTTTTTACAACCAGCTATGAAGTATTTGTTATGTTCATCCCTTATACCTATTAAGGTTGCCAACTTTAAATTCTTAAATATCAACAAATATAATTAACTAGTTTATTTAATATATAATGATATAATTAACAAAATGACTGGTCGATAATAACTTTTGAACCTAAACTACTTCCACTTACATGTAAATGGAAGTACATAATTAAAATTAAGGACATGAATTGTAAATTTTAAATAAATTATGTCACCACCAATGTATTGTTGAAAATAATTAAAATTTTACGCTGAATAGTTCTTATAATTAATAGTTATAATAATATACAATGCAATGTCAAAACAAATTGCAACAATGTGTAGGCAATATTTTTCAAATTTACTAAATCTACTGAGAAATATAATTACCATAGTTATTTTTTAGAAAACTTGTTTATTTTATATGTTTTAATATATTTTATAAATATAATAAAATTTGAATTATTTTTTAATATATGTTATTATTTAGTAGAATTTATATAATTTAACTCCATTTTAATATGTTAACTTTTATCTTTTCAAAAGTTGGAAATCGAATACAATAAAATTATATTTTATATTTTTAATATTTTCTTTTCTTTAAAAAAAAAAGTCCTGATTCAAATGTTTTGAACATTATTGACAATTATAACTAATTATTCATTATTATTATTATTGTTGAGAATAAATGACTACATTAATTAACAATTATGATGATTTACTAAGCTTAATTCATGATCTATTTTAGTAGCAAAAACATTAACTGGACATTTAATTCTTTTTTCATTAGACATAAGTTTTTTTTATGAACACAAAAATTTAATCTATATTGAGCTATTATTTTAAGTAAATATTACTCTCTTAATAAGTATTTATCATTTTTATATACTAATCCTATTGATTTTCAGCAATATATTTTGACCAATGCATTAAAAATGTATTCATAAATTGATATTGTAAGAATTTAGAATTGAAGTGTTTTTCAATTTTATTGTTAATTATTAAATTAAAATTGATCTATTATTAATTTATATAAATTATATATTTATTTAAATAGTTAAACTTTATTTAAACACGAATTCAAAAATAATTTTGTTAGCAATGATGTCTTTATTTATGTCACCGTATTTTTATTTTGTAACTTATTGAATGGGTTATAATTAAAATGCGTAAAAAACACTTTATTTATTATTTATATAACAAAACAAGAATTTTAAAGTCTTCAACTTTCAAGTCTTAGTTATTATATAATATCTCTAACTAATTTTTCATAATGTCTTATCCTAGATATAATTTAAAGAGTCATAAAAATTAAAAATATAAATTTAAAAAAAGATAATTTTAACTATAACTCGTTTTCCTTTTATTTGATATCGTACAATCCGTTATTAATTTAATTACAATAAGCACAAGTGATGTTCATGTTAAGCAAATATAAAAACAGTAGGCTTGATAGAAGAGGCCAACCAGTGCTAGTACTTTATGACGTGAAAATTGTGGATTAATCAATCAATAGATCGCGATACAACGTTCGCTTTAGGCGCCTACTAGGGTCACCAGGGATAGAGTGAGTAGATAAATCAGAGATCAGAGGGTTTTGATGGTTTAAATTATTAGAGTGTAAACGCTTGTAGAATATTTTAGCAGTTTTTTGGACTGTTGGGATAGAGAGATCATTATGGAGGGTATCATTAGAGACGTAAAATGGGGCTTTTGTTATTTGATGGAGGCATTTGTTTTGGAAGGTTTGTATGTTATTGATGTTGAATTATTTAGTAGGTCCTCAAAGCTGGATGCTATATGTACAAATTGATTTGAGAAATAGTTTGTATAATTTGAGATTGAGTTGTTATGATGTGAGAAGGAAATACAATTGACGGGAGTGCTTTAAGAGAAGACGTTTGGAATGGATATGAGTAGCCGAGGTAAGGCAGCAGTCTAGGTATAGACCCAGGTATCTGATATTTAACTATAATTAATTTTTTTTAATGTTTTATACATGATTTAAAAAATATATATTTTAAATCATATAATTTTTAATTGCATTATGTTTAATTTCATTTGTTTTAAACAAGATTAAAACAATAGTTTTCAAATATAATGTTTAAAACTGCGAACTCTGGTTATGATAAACGGATCTGTAATTTAACTACTGATAATATTATGAAGTAGTTGTAATTTTTATTTCGTAAAAGCGTTATACCAAAAATAAGGGAAAATATTTCTTTTCTATTTATTAGACAAAAATATAAAACTATTATGGTAAAACTAAAATGAAGTATAGAGTTTGTAAATTTTCCCAATTACAGGGAGCTAATATTAAAATTTTTCTAATTTTTAAAGAATAAATGTTTTTCTTTCGTATAAATCCATAAACGCATATTTAAGACAATAATAATAATTTTTTTACATATTTTATTAATTTAAATACTATATTTTTATGAATATTTTAAAGTATATTTTATGCATGGAAGCATATTATTTAACTTTTTAGATGCGTATAAAGCCGGACTCTAATTATGATTGTATTTTTATTCTTAAAATTAGTGTTGTTATCATTTTAAATTTATTATCAAATTAACATGGGAACAATTTTTTACAAATATTTCATTAAATTTCTATTAATGACAGAAATTTCCGTTGGTCGGAGAATTTCTAACCTACAACAATAATTTCAATACTATATTTTGTACATAAAAATGTTAAGAATTTAGAACTATAAAAGGGAAAATTAGAAGGAAATATTAAACTTAATTGATATTTTTTGGAATTTCTCAGTGACTGACAAATAAAATTAGGACTTAAACTTTTATAAAATTTATCTTCATGCCTATTTCTCTTTTTTTTGAGATCTTATGTAATATAAGCAAATAAAATTGACTACTATTACAATCTTAGAAATTAAGTAAGAATTAGATAAAAAAATTTATTTTAATTTTAATGTATAGTTGTAGATATAGATATTAATAACAGACTTACTTAATATGATTAATAACTATAATATTTAATTAGTGATGTTATTTATCAGGGACCATTTCCCAAAGATGGGTTATGGCTATAATGGGTATGTTAGGTGTAACTATGGCTTATGTAATGCGAGGTTGTTTGAGTATAACTATAACACAAATGGTTAAGCCTAACAGAGAAAATGCAACAAATTATAAGGGAAATGAATCTCTAAACTACTGTCCAATGCCAAATATAAAAATCAATCAACAAAATAATATATCCGATAAAGATTACAGTGATAGATTTGATTGGGATCAAGAGACTCAGGGTTTGATATTATCGGCATTCTACTATGGCTACATTATAACTCACATACCAGGAGGACTTTTATCACAAAAGTTTGGTGGAAAGCATACGATGGGTTTAGGCATCCTTTCTACTGCGATATTTACTCTGTTTACGCCAATGGTAGCTCGTATGGGAGCAAAGTACTTGATTATATTGCGATTTGTCGAAGGACTTGGAGAAGTAATATATAATTTTTACAATTTCAAAACAAAGTCTTCAACCTCAAATTTTTGTCAGCTAATGAGCTATAATTTAATAGGGCACCACGTTTCCAGCACTTTGTACTCTCTTGGCTCAGTGGGCTCCGCCAAATGAAAAAGGGAAATTGTCTACTTTAGTTTTTGCAGGTAATAATTTTCACAATTTAATATACAATGATAGCCGGATTTAATAAAATCTCGTAGTCTCCACAAAAAATAATAATCATCGACATAGTAATTGATTAATTTTATTTTCCACATAAAACAAAACATCAGTTGATAAACTATTATAAAATCACAATTGAAATAGAAAAAAGTTCTTTTTTTGTCCAATTATAACACAGACTCAGGACCTCATATTCCATAATACGTCCTTAATAACAATTAACTTATGTGATTTATTTATTTTATAATTTTTTTTATGATATTGCAGGCGCACAATTAGGAAGTATTTTCGCCAATTCAATCAGTGGTTTAATCATTTATTATATACCTGGTGGTTGGTCTAATGTCTTTTATTTTTTCGGTGTCCTATCAATGATATGGTTTGTCTTTTGGTGTGCATTTGTTTATAACGACCCGTTGTCACATCCTTTTATTTCTGAAGATGAACGCAACTATTTATTACAGACAATGGGGAGTATCGAGAGGAAAAAAGTGTGTATGAAATAGATTTATCGAGAAATTTAAACTAATTTTTTTTGTAAAATGTTGAAGGATTTAATGCCAACTCCATGGAAGCCAATTTTAACTTCGTGGTCTGTTTGGGCGTTAATAATAGTTGAATCTGGACACGATTGGGGTGGTTACACAATCATCAGCGATCTTCCTAAATATATGAATGATGTTTTACATTTTTCGGTAAATCAGAATGCGCTTTTATCATCAATTCCTTTTATCGCTCAATGGATAACATCAATTTTGTCCAGTATATTGGCTGATTGGACCATTCAAAAACAGTATATGAGCGTGACAAATGTTAGAAAAGTTTACGCTGCTATTGGTAAGTGCGAATTTTATACTTATTGTGAACCAGTCAATAACTAAAAAATTAATAATCACTCTACAGATTATATTGTAACAATGCGAGACTTAGTTTTACAAGTAATTAGGATAGTTAAAAATATATTTTAATTACTCTTTTTTGATAATATAAATAGCTTATAAAGTTTATAGTCGGATAATTTAGGCTAGTAATATATATATTCAGTTCCAGAATCTCCTTAATAGTTTCCTAATATTTATTCTGCAATTTTTTTATCCGATCTAAAACACTTTGTACGCTAAATTTAAGAACGACATTTCAAGGAAATTATTGCAATCTTGTTTGTCATCCTTCTTGTATATTGAACATACCACAGCCACTTTCCAATCATTTAATACCTCTTGACATATATGAATCTTATACCTCTTCCGGTCTTATTTTATGTAGTGCTATAAATTTCACTTATATCTCTCTATTTCCTATGTGGATATGGCATGCATCATTTATATTATAACCGGCTCAACACTTATCTCTTCCACTCACTTTGTACATATTAGGTTTCAGTGTATTGTGTATTTTTGTTAAGTCTATATTGAGCAGATACTTTTAGTCAAGGCTGGGAAAGTTAATAATTTTTTTTAACTCGGTAAAATTTAATTAATTAAAGAATGTTAATAATTTAAGTTAATCTGCAATTTTTTTTAATATATGAAGCTTAAAGTTTAGATGAAAAAATTTTATTAACAGGTAAATGGGGTAGGGCTCCTAACTATTTAATTTGATATTTCAAAAATCTCTAGTGAGAAACTCGAAATTGTGCTTATGTTCGATAATGAAATAACTGAGATGTGCAATTTATAAAATTGTATTTTTTGTAGGAACCGTCGGTCCTGGACTGGGTGTAATGTTTGCTTCATTCGTTGGTTGTGACAAAGTTATGGCTACATTCTTTTTTGCAATTGGAATGGCTCTCATGGGTTTTTGTTACCCAAGTATCCGCGTAAATGCTTTGGACTTATCACCTAATTATTCAGCTACCATCATGGCCTTAGTAAATGGAATAGGCTGTTTATCAGGAATGGCAACTCCTTATATAGCCGGAATATTAACACCTAATGTAAGTATAATATCCTGTTTACACGATATAATTATTTTTTGCAATTATGATGTCTATATAAACATATCAAAACAGTATTAGTGACCAGTAAAATTGAGATTGCAGTTGTAATAACTAACGATTAGGAGTTATCTTTTTCTACATTTTTACTTTACTCGCACCTATATTTGTAAATTATGGCCACAAAATAAAAGTATTATTATTAAAAGGCAGTTATATGTTAATAAAATACTAATACCGTATAGTTTTACTATAAATTAATAAAAGTACACAGTATTAGTAGATAAAATACCGATATGCGTAACTAATAGGGCAATAACTCACTTTTTTTTAACTTTCCAGCAGATTATAAATGAAAATTTATCCTATTCCTAATGGAATTAATTAACTTAAATTAAATTAAGTAGGAACAATGTCGCTAAGTTAATAGTTAAAATTTAGTAAAGTATGAACGTAACTAGCTAAATAGAAAATTTTTAGCTTCAATGCAAAGCTCGGAAGGTATTTATTTAACTATGTACTTTTCATTTGTTTTTGTGTCCGTCACCACTTTTTTAACTCCCACCGTACCATTTTTTTTCAACAATTCATCAAATAATCACAAATCTTATCTTAATGAAGAAATTTACTTTAAAAATTAAAAATTTTTCCCTCGTTTTCTGTAAATTGGGGAAATCTCCCAAAAATTACTTTTTTTTAAAATTGGTAAATTTCGATTTTTTCTTCCTTAAACTGTAATAACTTTTTAAAAAATAACACATCTTTTTTTATGAATGCTTTAGATATTTCCTTCTTTTTTTGATAAACATATTTTTTAAATCTGACCCCTTATCTGCCCATAAGAGGGCAATTTAAAGTAGAAACACTCAAACAAAAATTTAAATTTTTCAACTTAACATTAAAAAAGGTTTCGAAAATACTGCGTTTTTTAAATATATGTTAAATTAAAATGTATGTCACGCACTATAATTAAAAATATTAAATTGCCCCGACAACTGATCTTTTTGTAAATGGCCGCCGTAGTTAAAACAGTAATTTTCTTAATTTATCATTTTTTATTTTATGCTTAACAATTGACAATACAAAAGTTAATCAGAGATCTTTATTTTGTTTTCAATAAGGCGTAACCAAATATATATATATATATATATATATATATATATATATATATTTATTTCGTTTGACATACAACAAATACCACTACATAATTTAACTAAATATAAAATATTGTACTTAGGAGTTATATTAACAAATAAAAAAGTTTAGTATTCGTTTATAAAGTTTTGTCATTTTACACGTTATGATGTGTAGAATATTGTCTCAGTTCTATAAACATAAAAAAAAAAATTATACATCATGTTTATTGCAACATTAAGTAATTCATTATACCAATGCTATCAAATTTATATTAGTTGAATATTGATTTTGAAACATTACAGTAATGCTTTATGTAATTAAGTACTATCAAACAATAGTTTTGTATAATATGTTTTTTTGTGATTTTAAATTTATTTAAGTCCCTTATGAATATATTTCATAAATAAAGTTAATTATAAACTCCCTGTGGATAGGGGATAAGAATATTCCACGGCCTCTCTGTCAGTCTTAAGAGACGATTAATAAGGTTTCGTCAGTTCGACAGCCGGCATAAAATTTTTGTCAAAAAGTATGAGGAGTCCTGAACAAAACTTAGGTGGATTGTCTCATCTCGGATGTACGCGGGGACAACAAGTGAGAGGACCCCAAGTAGTTGGGATTAAGGCGAGGAAGAAGAAGAAGAATTATAATTAATTATAACATCATATATGATGTTAAATAACAATATTTTTTAATTCGAGTAGTATAAATGCTAATCATATAAACCATATTATTTAATTTTACAGAAAACTATTTTAGAGTGGCGTCTTGTATTTTGGATTATGATGGGTGTTATGGTATCTTCTACATTGGTTTATAGTGTATTTGGAAGTGGTGAATTGCAACCATGGGATGATTTGGAACTTTATAAAAACAAAAATGAAAATGAAAGCAACGAACCTCAAATAAAGGACCAATATAAGAAGAATTCATTTGAAGATGACTCAACTTTAAAACGACGAATATAAATGTTGAAAATATTTTATCTTAAAATATATGATTAATTCCTAAACAAACTTATGTTACTTGTTATTTAATTGTTTATACGTGTTGAATTGTTGTTGAGTAATATTTTTTTGACAAATTTGATTTATTGATAAGAATTTCATAAATTACTTATATTATCTTTAAGATGTATTTTGTCTTTTTATATTATTTGTAACAAAATGTACAATTTCTATTCATTTACTTTTTAAATTAAAATTATTAAAGTAATTTTTAAATTCATAAATTCAAGTATGTGATAATTTTAGCTTCGATGCGAAGCTGAGAAGGTATTGGTTTTACTATGATGTGTTTTTTTTTGTGTCTGTTACCACTTTTTCTCAGCTCTCACTGAATCGATTTCTTTTAACGATACGTCAAAAAATCACAAATTGTATCTAGTTGAAGACATTACCCTTAAAAATTGAAAAAAATTCCCTCGTTTCCCGTTAATGGGGGTAACCTCCAAAAAAATTACAAATTTAAAAATCGCTAATTTTCGAATTTTTTTTTACTAAAACTGTTATAACTTTTTCAAAAATGAACAAATCAATATAATTTTTTTTTTAGATGCTTGATGTCTTTACCTACCGTTTGATGTATTTTTTTTATAAATTTAACCCTTTGATGTCGAGAGAAATAATTTTAAAATTTGAACTAGCTAAATTTCCATTTTTATTAAGTGATGAATGCGACGTACAGTTTCTGAGACGGTAACACTTGGGTCTTTCATGCCTGTGGCACTGAATTTTTTCTTAATTATTTTTGAGTAAGAAAAAAATTTTAACTCATTTGATTTTTATCTCATTTAGATTCAATAGCTTCAATAAATATCAAGGACCCCATAACTGTAGTCTCCTCTCGTGAGAAGAAATTCATATTAATATTATTTTATTATGTGTTTTTTTTTTGTAGCTATCATTTATTTTCTCAGCTGAAAGGTAAGTTCTATAAGACTGTAGTGAGATCAGCTATGATATATGAATCAGAGTGTTGGGCGGTTGAAAAGAAAGTAGAGCAAAGAATGAGTGGAGTGACTAGAGGATAAGGAACGAGCATATTGTGGGAGTTACACTTCCTCTTATATTAGAAGTTGATGTTGCTTTTGTAATAGTTCACTAATTTTTTAGAATTGAACACTATCTACAGATTTGCATCAAAGTGTTTTTTATGATAGTGATTTTAATCACTATCAGATATCATCTATACTGAACCCAACTATGCCACGACCCCACTGTGCCGCCACCCCACTTTACTGGGTTTTTTATAATTATTATAAATCAAAATTTTAATATTTTCCCTTCTACATTAGTTTATTTAATTTTATTATTTCATATATATTATATATTTATTTTAATTTTATGTTATTAATGATGTGCTATCCATTAAATTATGTATGCTTATCCTGTAAAATATACAAAAAGAAATCACGAAAAGATTATATTAACATAGACAAAAGATTCCAAAACTATCATAATAAAATATAGAGAGTAATCATTAAGGATTGAACACACAATTTTGGAAACTATTAAATTTTTTTATTTATGTAAAGGAAAACATTTGTTTTATTCAAAATACCCATACAACTACATACAATTGTATGTAGTTAAATTATTTATTTTTTTATTCCTTTAGGCATAAAAAATCTAATATTAACCCTAAATAAGAACCCCCATTTATAACTTCATAATATGATAGAAAGAAATTACAAACAATTTTGTTCTTATAATTATTTTTAGCTGATTAACCAGTCATATTTTATAGCTTGTTTGAGTATCGAATTTTTCTATTTTACAAACAGTAGTTTATTAGTTTATAGTCATTTATTATGAGTATATAATGCGATATTATTCATTATAAAAAATATTATGAAATATCATAAATTTTAGTTAAAATATTAGTTATTTAGATATAAAATACTTTAAATTACTTAAATTAATACGAATTCTCATTTAAAATTGTTGAAGTTTTATTAAATTGTATGACATATATATTGGAATCGGATAATATTTTAAATTGTATAAAGATATATAACTTTTTTGACTGAAGAATATTGCTGACATATTCACATGACAATACATGTAATAGGAAAACAATTTTATACTCGGATTATATAAAGTTCTTTAATTAAATTAAATACAGTTAAAAAAATTATAACGACTAAAACAGATAACATTATAATAGGAAAATAAAAATAAGATAAAAGAGATTCAAAAACTTAAATCTTGTTCAGAACTAATAATTAAATACAAAATAAATATTTAAAAAAATAATACTTAAAAAATTTTAATTGGTGTCGTTTCAAATATCAAAAAAAAATCTCCTGAAAAAGCCGAAATTGAATCCAATTTATTATTTATAAAACTTTTTTCAACTTGTAAATTGTCATTGAAAGTCTTGACTAAAGACTGGCACTATTTATAATTTACAATGTTAATTATCATATAGAATAGAAAAAAATAACGGTTAAACAGTGTAAGAAATATTTTAAGTGTATAAAAATAGTTATGAATTACATATAATTAAATGTTATAGAATTTTAAAGTAATACTGGTTTAAAATGATTTAACTAACAAGAATATGAATGTATTAAAGCTTTTATAAATTGTTGCATTGTTAGAATATTTACAGATATATCCATGTTTTAAGTTTTACGCTGACGTTTTAATCTCGTTACAAAGTTTATCTCTGAAGTAATAGTTACAGATTTGAGTTGGCCTGTTATATTATTTAGTTTTAAATTGATTTTTTATATATATATAAGTAGTGTAATATAGGGGACTTTGGAACCCCCGCCTCACTCACTCACCATCCTATCGGTGGGTGTGGAGGAAGTGTACGGGGGGGATTAAAACCAACGTAAACTAACCTAATGCGGAGGGAGGGAGTGGATGAAACCCAACGTAAACCAGACGCTTAGGTAAGCATATTTCTAGCATCGACACCCAAAGAAAAACCTCAATCAATTTTGATAGAGAAATTTTATCAAGGGTTTGTGATAATGTTTTATTAATACGAACAAAATAATTATTCTTATAAATAATTATTATTCAAGACAAGAAAAAAAATTATCATATTGATAAATATATCATAAATTCAATAGTAATGATATATTTATCAAATTGAACAATGAATTTATTATATAGATCGAGGTTTTTCTCTGGGTGGAATGTACAAATAATTTCTAAGAATTTTATCATCGGCTACCAGAAGCTTAGGTTTGGTTTGGCATATTTTTCAACATTAAAGATGTCGCCATACAGTAATGATCATTATCGTATGAATTTTATGAGAACAATGCAACGTTTGTCGTTATGGTATTATAATTTCTAAGAATTTTATCATCGGTTACTAGACGCTTAGGTAAGCATATTTCCAACATCAAAGGTATGACCGTACTGTAACGATCACTGTCGTATGCTTTTTATGATAAAAATGACACCACTGGATGTGTGTTCACGCCTACGTATTTTATTCTTTACTACATAACCGGTTAAACACTTCTTGTCCTGACACATTTGTTTTTAATTATCATTGACGTGTAGTTGTCTTTTTGAAAACCAGAAATTTATTATTTAATAATTTACATGTATAAATAAAACCATGAACCAGCAAGCTCAATCGTCTTCTACACAAGGTATGTAGATTTTTCCAATTATAAACTTATTTTATTTTAATAAATTTATTTTTTAAATATTTTTAATTTTTAAATTCATTAATTTATTAAAAATAATAAATTATAGCCAATACCTAATTTTACTGTTAATTTTATTTTAATTTACGATTTATTTTTATTATAAAAAAAAAACTTCTTTACTTTACTTTAATGTATAAAAAAAAATAATTTATTTCATTTTTGATTAAAGCTACTTCAGCGACATCTGTTTGATGAAATGTACGCGTAATGTGATTTTTCAAATCACATTACGCGTACATTTCAGATTTTTCAAGGCTCGTGCGCAACCAAAAAGCCAAACACTAATATCGCATATACACTTGTAAACGTTGCTTCACCAGCTTTGATGATCAGCCTAAAAAGTATATTCTTCAGGGTAATCAAGCGTTGGAGCAACACAAGTTGATATGCGGCAAGAACAAGCCTATTTTACCTGTTATGCTGGCAGAGGGCAGTAAGGTCGAATTTGACGCGTGGGTAAAGACGCAACGGTTACCGTTCGTCATCTACGCCGATTTTGAGGCCTTACTGGAGAAAACAGACGATCGTATGGGTGCATACACCAGGACTGTGCACACCCACCATCCCATGAGCTATGGGTTCATGGTGAAAACATCGGACGATGTACCCTCCGAGCTCCTCAAACGCTACGGTATACCATAATCACCGGTGATATACCGTGGGTCTGAGGATCGCGAAGAGGTCGCCAAGGCATTTGTGATGGCTGTAACTGAAGTGACGCGCAAAATTTTTAAATTGTTGCGCAAAACCAACGTTCCTATCCGAATGTCTGCCGATGATGTGCGCAGGCACAGGGAGAAAGTGGTATGCGATTGTGCCATACAACATTCAAGGATTCCAACCCTAAAGTCGCTGACCACTGCCATTTATCGGGGCGATTCAGACAGACGTTGTGCAATGCGTGTAACCTAAAAGTGAAGACGGTCAACTTTGTGCCGTGCTTCTTGCACAATCTATCAGGTTACGACGCGCATTTCATCGTCACTGAATTGGGATACGACGACCAAAGGATTTCGGTCATACCGAATTCTGAGGAGAAGTATATTTCAGTCACGAAACACGTGACCAATTACTTCTCCATACGGTTCGTCGACACCTTCCGGTTCATGGCCTCCTCCCTGTCCACCTTGGCCGGTAACCTAATGACGCACGACTTCGTTAAATTTCGGGAGACGGCTAAGGTGTTCCGCCCGGAAGACATGCCGTTAGTGATGCGCAAGGGCGTATACCCCTACGAGTACACTGATAGTTGGATTAAATTGGACGAAACGGAACTACCACCCCGCGACGCTTTCTATAGTTAGTTAAGTGAGTCGAATATCGATGATGATGACTATAGACATGCCACGGAGGTGTGGAACCGTTTCGGATGCTCAACCCTCGGTGAGTACAGCGACTTATACCTTAAGATCGACGTGTTGTTGTTGGCTGATGTGTTTAAGAACTTCCGCGACATCTGTACTTCAACGTACAATTGGACCCGGCACACTATTACACCGCGCCCGGTTTTAGCTTCGATTGTATGTTGAAGTACACCGGGGTGAAGCTGGAGTTCTTGAACGATTACGACATGCTACTGATGGTGGAACAGGGCATTCGCGGTGGGCTAGTGCAGGCCGTCAAGCACTATGAGAAAGCAAACAATAACAAAACACCAGGCTACGATCCGACAAAGCCTGAATCATGGATCTTGTATCAAGATTGTAAGTATTATATATAAGTGCAATAATTGAGTGGTGGTTTAAAAATTAGCAAGACGCTAATGTACAAGTACTTCTACGACGTATTGAAACCACATTATGGCAGTGCAATCGAATTGGTTTACATGAATAGTGGTGAGTACAACCGTACAAAATAGAAATATTTTAGAATTCAGAAATTATTTAGTAGAAATATTTTTTATAATATTTATATATTTTTCATTTTTCTCAGACTCCTTCATATACCTGCTCAGAGTCGGCGACTTCTACCAGGATTTAGCTGATAACCCCGATTTACTGGTGCACGTGGACGCATCTAGCCTGCCCAAGGATCACCCTTGCTACTCCACCGATAGAAAGAAGATGCCCGGTCTGTTTTCAGACGAGACCGGTGGCGTCACCCTCTTTGAGATCGCTGCACTTCGATCAAAGTGCTACGCGTATGACATGGAAGGCAGCGGACTCATAAAGTCTAAAGGGATCCGCGGGCACGTCGTCCGGAACCATTTGTCTTTGAATGATTACAAACAATGTTTGTTCAAAGACGATGGCGATGGCGACGATGCGTCAAAACGAGCATTGGCTGGAGAGAATGCCCGTGTGGTCATCGGAGCTGTACGCGATGGTGGGACTCCACCGACATTATCGCTACCATACACTCCGTACCGACAACGTCAATCCGTTCGTTCGAGCACGAAATACGCACTTTACGTACAACCAGTTGGCGCTTAACCGTTTCAACGATAAGCGTTACACGCTCGACAACAGAATCGACACATTGGCTCACGGGCATTATGCTATACCACTACCACCACCACCACCACAGGAAGGTTATACAAATATAGTAGTATTTAAGTGATTCTCGTTGGAAAAAAAATATTGTTAAAATTAAATATTGAAAACATAATTTGTAAAAATATGTGTACTAGTTATAAATAGTTTTAAGATTTTTTGTTAAATAGTTGTAAATAAATGTTAGTAATCTTATATAGTTTTAAAATATAAAACAATAAAAAAAAATAATAAATAATAAATAAATGTAAATATACTTATATTTTTAATTATTAAATAAAAAAAACCTCGTGTAGTATTTATAATTGTTTATTTATTTAACTAAATGTTTTATTACAATAATTAAAAAAAAAAATTTATGGATGCTTTATATAATATCGATTGAATCTATCCATTTATTATGTGAATTATCCAAACCAACAAACTTGACAAAAGATTTGTCTTTATTCTTCTTAATGATCTTTTCTACTAAATAAACTTCTTGAAACTGAGTCTTGCTAAGTTCGTGCTCATAGAAACAATGATTTATAAATCTGTTGTTTTCATCTGTCAGCTCATACACGACGGGTTTTGTATCACAAATTTTTGCGATTGTAAAGACTTCCGATGTCCAATTTTGTGTATATCCTTTTGAAAATACTGCTTTATGCTTACTCAGACGAACTTTATCTCCTATATTAAACTTTATATTGTATTTTAAAATTGGTAACCGTTTAAAACTGACATTTCCAGGAATACGTGATGCTATACTAGGAGTTGTTCCTATGGCGCTATGTTTTGTATTATTGTAATTTGTTATTAAATCTGCTATAATGTTTATCCAACTATATGATCTATTGGTAGTAAATTTTTTCCACATTTTTTCTTTTAGTGTTCTATTAAATCGTTCCACAACAGCCGCTTTCATTGTAGAGTAGGTTAAATAATGATTTATATTTTTGTTCTTCATGAGCATCCGAAAATGTTTGTTGAAAAATTCTAAACCCCGGTCTGTTTGCAAGTTTTTTGGAGATCTATTGAACAAGACTTTTTCAAAAGCCGACTTGACTTCTGTACTAGATTTATTTTTTAAAGGCACAGCCCACGCATATTTTGTATAAACATCGATTATCGTTAAAATAAATGTAAAATTTTTATTTTTTGTAGAGTATTTTTTCATATCTACTAAATCTGCTTGCCACAAGTCATCTTTGCCATACGATACAACTCTTCTTCTAGGAAATATTTTTCTAGCCGGTCTATGTAATTCATTTGCTACTTTCTCTGCTACTTTACTCATGATATTACACCTAGTTCTCGTAACTCTTCTTCTATTGACAGTATTTCGTTTCCCACACCTGTATTTCCAGCACTTCTTGCAGCGTGTAAAAGTTCTAATCGAACTATGAGTTCATTAGGATCGTTCCAATATACGTATTCTTTAGGTCTTTTGTTTAAAATTTTGTAGGTTAACACACCACTACCTGTTTTCGGAGGAAACAAGTTACTAATGATGTATTTATATTTATAACCTACATTACATTTTAATTTTCCATCTCGACCTAAATGGGCATTAGTGTAAAGTAATAAAATTTTATAATCCGATAAATCCATTTTATTGAATGAACCAACTGCAGGTTTACTTTTAAATAATAATTGATAAAGCTCATAACTTAGTGGTCGTGGTGCTAATGTCCCAACTTTAATAGTTGAAAAATCATCGGTTATTTAACCGTAGTATTACCCATGATAAAATCATTATCATTCACATACTTTAAACCATAAACCGGGTCCATTTCTAACAACCACTTTGAAAAATCTTCTCGCTGCATTTCACTGGAAAACGAGCGTTTAGGCTTATCGATATTTGCCATCTCTATTTCTTCCTGAGATGTAGAAGGTTCATTTTTTATTGAACTTTCCATCTTTATTTCCTCTTCCTGATATGTAGAAGGTTCGCTAGAGCTCTGTATCATATCATTTTCTTCGGATGTTAAGGATGTAATTGGATCAGTTTTTACTATAGGATGGGCTTTTCCCAAATGACGAAACATTGACTTTCTATGCTTTTGCTTTTCTTCCATTTCAACACGATTTTGATTAGCTATTTCTTGAAGAGGTGTCACCAGTGGTGATNCTATTTCTTGAAGAGGTGTCACCAGCGGTGACATATGTGTACGTACAAAATTTTCCGATTTCTCAACATTTCTATAAATTAACTGTATTTTATTTTTTATGTTTTGTTTAGAGCGTATGATTTCTTTCAACACTTTATCCGACTTCTTGATATTAACTAAACATATAGCAGTATGAGTCGTCTTTTTATACTCGCGTCATTTTTATGAATATATCAAGCTCACATCGATATCGACCATTGTTGAGGTCATCATCTTTCACTATAGTAATAAAACTATATCGTCCTTTATTCCAACATTGTGAACACATATGCTTTTAATTCATTAAAACTCATATCACTGGAACAATGATCTTCATAAACGTGTTTGAGATTTGTTTCGTCTTGTTTGTACAGTATAATCATATTAGTGTTATCTCTTATCAGTTGTTTTGGAATTCTAGAATACGTCTGTGTTAGGTAAAAACTATCAACACCATTGTGTCGCCCTCGGCAAAAATAAGATGTCATATGAACTTGTTTTTCACAAATCACATCATCGAATACAAATACAGAGTTTGCTTCTAATTTTTCGGGTGGAGGTACGTCTTCACTGTTTGTGAACATAGATAATTTTACCACATTATCCATAATCTCACCTAATAATTTATGTTTATGCTGATCCGGGGTTTTCGTGTAAACGATAAGGTGCTCGAACCGCAAACCATTTTCCTCAGTTAATAATTTAAATATAACATTTGTCTTACCACAATTTGATGGTCCACATATTATGCATCTTATTGTGTTGAGTAACAGTGGTCCATGTTTAGACTCGATGGGGTCTGTAAGATCCACGACATTATGATAGAGTATGTTTCTGTTTCTCAAAAAACATTATTAGCGCACGTTATTACTTGTCGAACGAATGAGTTTAAATTATGAAAAATTCAAAAAACCTTTACAGATATAAATTGAAAATGGTGCGAACAAGACGTGCGACGAAGTGAAGTGTAGGACGCGGTATTGTTAATTCAATAATTAATCGATTGCCCATTGAAATGCATGTTCCAGGGTATCAATATTGCGGACCAGGCACACNAAATGCATGTTCCAGGGTATCAGTATTGCGGACCAGGCACAAAACTTAATAAAAGACTAGCACGTGGTGATCCTGGAATAAATAAACTCGATGCAGCGTGTCGTGAACATGATATTGCGTACGCAAGAACAAATGATTTATCAGAACGGCATTTGGCTGATTACGAGTTGGAAATACGTGCTTGGGACCGCGTAAAAGCGAACGATAGTTCATTTAGATAAAAGGCTGTTGCGTATGCTGTTACAAATACCATGAAACCTAAAAGAAAGATTTGAATGGGTTTTGGTGGAGTACTACGAGTTGGACGTAAATCTATACGTAATTCAAAAGATATTAACAGTGCGGCAAACTTAGCATTAGCAGCAGCTCTTGTTGCTGTAAAGGGGAAACAAAAATTTAAAACACCTCGCACTATCAAAGTACCTAAATTTGGAGGTGTGCTGCCACTCATTCCTATTTTTGCTGGACTTTCAGCTTTAGGATCGTTGGCTGGTGGAGTATCGAGTATTGTAAGAGCTGCACACGAAGTCAGAAAAAACATTAATTCGAATAAACCAGTAAAAATCGGTAATGCATTATACTTGCATCCATATGCTGGGAAAAAGAAGGGTGATGGATTTTATTTGAAACATCAAAAAAAAACTAGCATTGACACTACCCAAGCGACGCGCACTCAACGATTTAGATATTATAAAATATGCTGAGTCATTCGGAATCAGTCATTTCCGCGGTGTCTTTTCGGGAGATAAGTTGCCTGTCAAGCCCAAAATATACGAGAGTGCAGTTGTTAATTTAGATATTGATCGTGGAAAAGTAACGCATTGGGTAGCGTATTTCAAGAAAAGCAAGGACGTGGTGTATTTTGATTCTTTTGGAAATTTACCTCCTCCGCTAGAACTTGAAAAATATTTCACCGGATTGCGCATGAAATACAATTATAATCAGAAACAAAAATATAACACAAACGTTTGTGGTCAGCTGTGTTTAAAATTTTTAAAATCACAATGCTCAAATCGCTGATCCTTACGCTGCATGACACAACGTCGGAAGTCACATCAAGTTTTTTTTCACCGATATAATTCACTGGAGCATTAGAGTTTGCGTTGTTGGTATTTTACGGATGTAATTCAATACCAAATATTGACAAGTCAAACAATACATTCACTTTGATAAATACAAATAACGAGCTTCTTGAAAATAACATAGAAATTAAAGTGCCTGAAGGCACTTATGAACTTGAAGACATTAGTAAATATCTAGAAGAACGTCTTCAGTCGTATAAAATCTCATTCATGATAAAGACTAATAAAAACATTTTAAAATCAGAATTAAAGTGTANCATTATTCTTGAATTTTTAACTATGTAATACTTTTTAAGTTCATCCCTTATGCCTTGGAGGGGGGTCAACTTTGTTTTTTTAAATGGTAACACATATTTTTAATTTAATAAAATGTTTGAGTTTTTAATTTAATAGTAAATAGCATTTGAATTTTTAATATAACTTTATTAGCTTATTAGATATAAACATTTAAAGTTTCAAATTTTTTAATTAATATACATGTATAATACACATGGGATTGTAAATACAGGTAGCTAATTGGATTTTTATGACATTGCTGTCTCAGTCACGGATTGTTTATTATCAATTATGATTATCAATAGATATACTTTCTGTATTGTCAGTTAGTGTATTTATAAACTCATAACAATGTGCCTTACTACAATTGATAATAACAATGCTGTGTACCTGCTAATATCGATGTTATAAAAAACCAATTAGCTACCTGTATTTGTAATCCCTTGTGTATTATACCTGTATATTAATTCAAAAATTTGAAACTTTAAATGATTATATCTAATAAACGAATTAAGTTATATTAAAAATTCAAATGCCATTTACTATTAAATTAAAAACTCAAACATTTTATTAAATTAAAAATATGTGTTACCATTTAAAAAAACAAAGTTGACCCCCTTCCAAGGCATAAGGGATGAACATAAAAAGTTTTAAATAGTTAATAATTCAAGAATAATGTGTAACTAAAGATAATGAAACAAAAAAATGTTTAAATTATTATTATTTTGCAAGTAATTGAGTGGGTTATGATAAAAAAATCACTCTGTATATATTTGACTAAAAAAAATGTGTTATTTATTTTAGTACCTTATCCTTATTATATTTCATTTATTTATTACATAAATCAAAAGCAGATAGATTAAATACTATGTAAAAAATAAATGCATACGACAGTGATCGTTGTACAGTAACGATACCTTTGATGTTGGAAATATGCTTACCTAAGCATCTGGTAACCGATTATAGCAATGTTATCATAAAAATATTTATCATAATTTCTATTTAACGTCTAATTTTAGAAGAATATTTAGCTACACCGATTCTCTACCAGTCCGGTCGAATGGTGGGCGGAGTGAAGCGGCGGCGTTCGTTTAACAATATATGTGATATAGCAATGTATTTATGGGTCAGTGGAGTAAGCTTTAAAATATTGTATAAAATACATACGACAATCATTGTTACTGTACGGTGGTACATTTGATGTTAGAAACATGATCACCTAAGAGTCTGATAGCTGACTATAAAATTCTTAGAAATTATTTGTACATTTAATATTAATAACACACAGACAGCGACGCAATTGTTCTCATATAAAATTACAGACGTTTATGAGCGTTACACTATAATTATACCTTTGATGTTGGAAATATGCTTACCTAAGCGTCTGGTAGCCGATGATAAAATTCTTAGAAATTATAACTATAAATTTAATAATATACAGACAGCGGCACAATTTTTTCCTCATAAAATTACAGACTCTTATGAGCGTTATAATATAATGATATCTTTGATGTCGGAAATATGCTTACCTAAGCGTCTGGTAGTCGATGATAAAATTCTTAGAAATTATTTGTACATTCGATGCTAGAAATATGCTTACCTAAGCGTCTGGTTTACGTTGGGTTTCATCCTCTCCCTCCCCCAGCATTAGGTTAGTTTACGTAAGGTTTCGTCGTTCCCCCCCTTCCATTACATAGGTTAGTTTACGTTGGATTTAATTCCCCCCGTACACTTCCTCCACGCCCACTGATAGGAGGGTGAGTGGGTGAGGCGGGGGGTTCCATAGTCCCCTATATTACCCTAGTTATATATTATCTTAAATAATATTAGCCACATTCATATTATAAGAAAATGGTTGATCGATAATAACTTTCGACAAATTATTTCAGTAGTTATTAACATTGTTTTACCTAGACGGAATGAGGATTGCGTCTGAAATATGTCTAATGATAAATGTTTATACACATGTCTCACTAACAGTCTATATTTTAAAATGGTAATAACTTACGTAATAAATTAATAGGTAATGTCAAAAAAATGTTAGATAAAAAATATATAGAAAATTTAATTTAAAACAACTTTTGTGTGACACATTTTTTTTGTACAGTGGACTGTTTATAAAATAAATCAAGTTAATAGTTTTAACGGTAAATATAGAACATTTGCTTTTCCATTTTTTATTAGGCTAAATAACAATTTTTTTAGATATCTTTTTTATAGAAAAATATTATATCTATAAAATAGTTTCTATGAATAATATAATAAAAAATATAATAAAACTATGAACTTTTTCATAAAAGTTAATGTTTTTGAGATAGACAAAAAAACTAAAAAGCTACCCTTAGGGTATCATTTTTAATCCTCTTGGGGCACGACTTAGAGTTTGACAATCATCATCAATTTTTACACAATTGTTTTTTTTGGGTATTCAAACAATTCTAGGGGATGACACTATGCAATTTTAAAAATTCATAATTAACAGTCACCCATTATCCCATCTGTGCCATGTCCACACTATGCTGCAACTCCACTGTACTACTGTTTTCTTTTCAAATTTGAAAACTATTATCCTTAAAAATTAAAAAAAATCCCCTTTATCAAATAAAAAGTTGCTTAACCAGCTTTATGCATATAGGCACAATTTAAATCATTTATTTCTAATGTTTTTAAAGTATTAATTGACAAATTAAGTTTAATATGATAGTAGGTTTCAACTACAAAATATAATCATTTTACTTTGTAATTTATGAATTTTTTTACTCTACTTGTATGTGCTACTATCAGTATAAAATATTCCAATTTTTTTGGTAACATGTTTCTATATGACTCATTTATAAAAATATATATCATTTATAATACAACTTTTTTTACAATTCTATATTTGATATATATAACGTGTTTAATACAAATTTAAATAAGTATTGAATTTCTATTTATTTGTAAAACATAAGATTTATATGAATACATTTTAATCTTCATCTTTTTCTTCCTCGCCTTAATCCCAACTACATGGGGTCGGCCACCCTTATCCTAAACTTCCACTTGACACGATCTCCCACATCATCTATGCTCACATCAGCTGCCTTCATATCGCATTCAATTGTATCCCTCCATCTTTTTTTGGTCTTCCTCTACCTCTTCTTCCTTCAACATTCATTTCTATAACTATTCTTACAGCTTCCGATTCCTCTCTCCTTATAACATGACCAAACTATCTAAGTCTATTTTCTCTCATTTTATCCACGATTGACGCTACACCTATACTCCCTCTTATATGCTCGTTCCTTATCCTATCTTCTCTAGTCACTCCACTCATCCAACTAAGCATTCTCATCTCTGCTACACTCATTCTCTGCTCTACTTTCTTTTCAACCGGCCAACACTCTGAACCATACATCATAGCTGGTCTCACTACATTCTTATATAACTTACCTTTCAGCATCGTTGGAATTCTTTTATCGCATAAGACGCCAGACGCTTCTCTCCACTTTAACCACCCGCACTTAATTCTGTCTTGCATCCTCGTCAATACCACCACTCTTTTGCACAACTGACTCCAAAACTCTCCACCTCTCCAATCACGTTCTCGCCTATTGTAACTGACATCCTCATGTCACCTACATCTTGTTCTCCTTTGTTAAACTCGTACTCTATATATTCTGTCTTACTTCTACTTATTCTTAAACCCTTTTGGTCAAGAGCTGATCTCCACACCTCTAGCCTTTGATTAATTTCCTCCCTATTTGTTCCTATTAACACTATATCGTCAGCAAACAACATGCACCAAGGCACCTGATATGAATACATTTTAATAAATTATGATATTAATTATTTAATAATAAATTATTAATAGTTACCATTATTTTAAATAAATTATAAAAATATTAAGTTCAGATCTACTATATTTTACAATCAATTAACTACATAACACCAAAGAAGAATNGAAGAAGTTTGTTGTAAGGCTTTAAAAACTTTAGGTTTCATTCAGAGAATTTCTCATGAATTTCACCTCTCTAAACCACTAAAAAGTCTTTTTTGCTCTCTGATCCGCCCTATCCTTGAGTACGGTTCGGTGTTATGGGATCCTTACACAGCTACTGACTCTATGATGCTCGAAAGAGTGCAGCGTAAATTTTTACGCTCTGCTGCTCTTGTCCTTAATATACCCCATCCACCCCATGACTTAACTCCTATTCAAAATTTTTTGCAACTTCCTTCCTTATCCGCCAGAAGACATGAGTCTAATATCCGTTTCCTTTCCAAACTCTTAGCAGGTTTAATTGATTCTCCTGTCCTTCTTTCTAAGTTGAACTTACGGGTACCTGCCCGCTCAACTCGATATACTGCCCCTTTCCTAATTCCTCCTTCATCTACTAGCTATTTATTTAATTCTTCTCTCCCCCGTTTAATGCGTACTGCAAATAATGACCCTGATTTTTTAAATTCTTTTTGTTCTTAATGGAGTCATTTAGCCTTTCTTTGTATTTTAAATTTTTACTTATGTTTTCAATTTTTTCTTCTTGTCCAATTCAATTTTATTGAATTTCATCTAATAATGTTCATATTTCTAGTTTTATGATAATTTTAAGTTGTATATTAACTGTCAATTACATATTGTATTTTTTGGGCTAATGCCTGTATCAGAAACAATAAATAAAATAAATAAATAACACCAAAGAAGAATATTAAATAAAGTTTAGAACTTCTATTATTCTAGAATATTCATGATATAAACATTATACACAGATAATTACAGTATATTCCAATAATGAACCTCACTTGACTATTTTACTATGCACATTTATTATGTAACTCAATATTAATACGAGTCTAAAAGAAATTTAAATTAAAAACTATAGAAATAAATAATATTTTATACATACCATACAATTATAATAAATTAAATGTATATATTATTACAAAAATATTTACATAAGGTATGGTTACTATATGTAATAATTTAAGTAAAGTATATACAGTACAACATAACTGGTGAAAATCATTATAATTAACATTACTTATTATTTAAAGTAAAGGAAAATAATCACACAACTTTAACAAAATTTATGCAATGGTAGTAGTAATCCATACATGAAAATATCACAGGGATTTTGTTGACTATCATTTTTAGTCTTTTTCTTACTTAAAAATTTTAGTATATGCTATCAATGTTAAAATATAGTCAATGTTGTTTTTAATATTTTTTTTTAATTTAAAAAAATATAATTTTTGTCAATACAAATCTCTTTCTTAAAATATATTTTTAATAATATTACACATGAGAAGTTTTAAAAAATTTAATTTTAACTGAACACAGACATAAAAGTTAAAAATATAATAATATCACCTTACTAAACTATAAGCATGGAACCTTAATCATTTAATTTAATACTCATAATATATAATAAATTGACCTCGTCTTATTTAACAAAATAAAATTTTAATAATTACTTAATATTATACAAGCTAATTTTGATAAGCAGGTTTTGTCAAAAGAACCCAAAATAAATTATAATTAGTCAAATATGTACTCAAAATTGAGATGGTTATTGAAAGATATTTGTATAACTTCAACTTTAAACAGAAAATTATTTTTCCTTGGCCAATAAAAGTGTAGTTAAATTTGATAATTTATTTTTAATCAGATTATAAAAGTAAAAAAAAATTTCTTATTCACATATTGCAAAAAAAAAAATTAAACAAAATAATATTCATTTTGATAATTTTTTTTCTAAGAAATATCATTATTTTTCTTTACAATCCCCTTATCACTGATATTTTGATTAGCTTGATCATTTTCATATTCAACAAAGTCATCAAATATGCTTGGCCAAGCTTCAGTATCATCATAATTCGATAAGTCACCATTAAAGACTGATTCTGCAAAATTTAAAAACATATTCCAAGTATCTTTAGGAATGCCTCTAATATTATCTTGAGTTTCCAAAAAGGTAAGCCAACGTTGAAGTATTGCTGGTTTGCGTTTACTGAAAACTAGTTGCCACAATACAATGGCTGTATCAACTGGTAAAATTCGTTGCCCCACAACATTATCTAAGCCAAATTTGAATGTAAATCTAGAATTACAATGTTAAAGTGATAAATATATGTATAAAAATAATAAAATGATAAAATTAGTGAAATAAAAACTTTAAGAATAGCAAAATAAATTATTAAAATATTACAAAACAGTTAATAGTTCAATAGGTTATATTATACTAATTGATTAATTTTATTTTTTGGATTATTATGTGCTACTGTTACATATTTTGAATAACTTTATGTCAATATTTAATTGTTAATTAGTTTATAAACTAAAAATATTTTAAAAATATTATATTTTCATTTACAATAAAAAAAACCAACAAAATTTAAAATAAAAAAAAATAATTTTTTTTATTAATTTTTTTTTAAATTTAATTATTAAATTTACATTAATTTAAATATTTTATTGTTTATTTTTCAGTGGCTAATTCTGAATAATAGTCAAGTATACAAATCTAACTGATAACTTTTTTAATATTATTATTTTATTATTTTAATAATCAAAGAATCCATAAAATATTTTTAAAAAAAATTTCAGTTGTTAAAAAATGTTAAATACTCGGTACTACTTATCTAATCCTACTTCTTCATTTTAATTATTTATTCTTAAATATTTTAAATAAGTATTATTATATTTTGTACAAATAATTTGAAGCCTTAAAATTTTGATACTTGTATAAAAATCATAATTTTAATGTTTCATTTTTTAATAAATTTGTTGATATAAAAACTTTTTTAGCATTAATTCAACTAATATAAATTTTTAATTAATTTACCTATATAAACTTTTGAACTCTTCATTATTATAGTTGAGATCATTGGTCATTTCAGTTAATTTTATTTTCATCAACGGTATTGTGTCTACTTGTAGTGAACTACAACCATTTATAAACTCTGTTCGTGTAAATCTACACATTTGATGGGCATCACATTTCCATGCCAATACAAGAATACGAAATTCTTCAGGAGACATTTGTAAATCACTACATAATCTTTCAATTCCATCAATTAATATTAAATCTTCAACAGAATCTTTGTAGCAATCAAATAATTTTTGAACCCTTGACTGAAAGCTCTTAGCAGCAAAATTATTTAAACGCATATTGGTTTTGTTAAGTGTTGATGTCAAAGTACAAGTAAATGAGGAACGAAAAATACTACAGTTATCATTGCTATCTGCTGCAATACTTGGGACATTATGTGCCCCATTATTCATGGATATCACAGGGGAAACTATTTCATTACAACTTGGCTCTGAAAAATGATTAAAAACAGGACATTTTTAAAGATAAAATATTTAAAAAGATGAAAAATCATAAAATAAATGGGTAGATATTTTAGATTATTTTTCCTGATTGGTAAAATTTGTAAAAATAACATTTTATTAAGTAGGGTGAAAAGGAGAAAATGTTAACTAATGAAGTAATTGTAAATTAATTTTTTCTCTTAGAATATTTAGCAGATTTAATTTTAGATTGAGAAGTTCTGGTCTTTATATATGTTGCGATCATATTAAATATAAATTCAGAATAAAAACTTATATATTTATCTAAAAATTAGATTTAAAATTACCCTACTTTATCATATTTGGCAAAAAACATGACCACAGTATTTATTTACCTAAGATTCTCAATAATACTATAAAAATATATACAAAACTTCTTATTTTTTAATTAAGTATATGCTAACTTAGAATTTCCCATTAATAATTAATTAATTAGAGTCCCCAATACATGATTTATAAATTATGATAGAACTCACTAGTAATTGAAAAACTCAAAAAGACTGTACCTTGGTAAAAAGATGAAAAACAATGTATTAACATAACATAATAGAGTATATTATATAATGTATCTTCGATAATTATTACAAATAGAAATTTAAACACAATTTTATCACACAATGATATGATAAATAGAAATGGTTATTTTCTCAAATGAATATTTTGAAATTATTAAACTATTTTAGTATAAAATATAGTAATCGGATTATTAAAAGTATGGTTAGAAAACTTGTGCACTGTTTTTAAAAACTATAAAAAAAGTTAAAAATTAATAGGAATACTAATAGATTAGTTACCTATGATTAATTAGAATAAATTAATTTTAAAAACTTTAGTACATCTTTTGATGATAAATATTTCATTTAAAATCACATAACTGAATATTTTAATTTTGGATTTTCCACAGTTATTAATCTAAATACTTGATAATAGATAAGATAAATTACACATAATGAAAATAATAAAGAACTAGAACACTGTTTTGAGTTTATTTTTGCTTATCTGTGCACACAAATATTGATGAAAATGTAAAATATTTAATTAACTTATAAAAAGAAAATTAGTTTAAAATGAATTTTTTACCTGTAACTCGTTTATCTATAACATTATCACAATCATTAAAACTACTACAATGTGTTGTTGGTCTGGTAATACTCTTAGAGCGTAAACATGTAAAACAAGTTCCCATTGATTGAAAGCAGAGCAAATAATTGAAGTTTTTGAATACATGTGTTATTTTTTAATAATTTTTCGAAACCTTGATATTATACAATAATTTTCAATTATTTGTCAGTTATTTTCAAGTTTTTTGTGTTTATAATTACTATTATAAAATAAATTGAATGTATAAAGTTTACCTTTCATGCAGATTCCAACTGATCATTTTTTAATGATTCTTATATAAAATAAACTAATCATTATAAATCAAAATAAACCGTAGTACTTAATATTTACCATAGAAGTAACTTAATTACTAATTGTAAAATTTTTAGAAATAAATACTTTATTTCTATCTATGACTTATTTTTTCATTTTCGATAATTATTATTAATTGGACTTCAAAGAACATTACGATTCACAACATTGAATAATCTAAGTTGATTATTAAGATGATCAATCATATCTTATTTTCGAGATAATATAATGCATTAGTATTCATTATCAACCTGGAGTCTGGTTTGATTTGCATTGTGTTTCGTTTACAACTTCATATCGATATCTACAACATGTGTTTATCAGCACCAGCGCCTAAATGAACTCGATTTACTTCGAATTACACTCTGCTTACTAATTACATATTTCAACTTTGAAATTATTACAATTGTTATCATGAATTTTGTATAATTATGTTATTTTTATATTAATTAAAATTGTATTTTATTACATATTTTATCACAAAAAGAAATTTTATATATTCATATTTACAATTCTAACAATAAATTATTATCAATTTAAAATTTCAATATTTTTTATAAAAGCAGTAAACAGAACTACAGTGCTATAAGTCAATTAAACAAGAATATTTTTTTTTTATGTTTGTATAAAGAATCAATTACTTACTAAAGATTCTAACTTGAAAATTTATAAAAGTAATCTCAGTAGTACTACATTATACATATATCGTGTAATTTTTTGGTTCAAAAAGGGGATTAAATCTGGTATTTTTTATACGCCTTTGGGTGGGTAACTGATCCTGTATTACAAATTATGTCTTATTAATTGAACACTGTTGTTATTGTTTAAGATTAAAAGTGTTAGACTAGATCAGGTAATATATTAGTTTACTTAAACGTATTGTATCATTTAGTTATTTGCTTCTGTCCATAAACGCAATCTAGGAGGTCCGAGGGTCTTAGTCCTCTCTAATTTTATCACATATTTTGTGAAGGCTGAAACCCCCTTACCGCCGAAAATTATGAAAATTGCTTGTTAATTTATATAGAAATATATATAAGATATTAAGATAGACCCACAAACATTTTGTTCAGATTGCGCCTCTGTTACTGCCTTTATATGATTCTTCATATTTATAATTACTTGTGTACAATATTTTAAAGTTTTTTTTGCAGACCTATAGTTTTGATACTACTCAGGAAAATAGATAAACAATATTTTTTACAAGAAAATTTTTCTTGCTTAGGATTATGTGTATTAAAAATATTGAATAGCAAAAATAAAAGTTGGTAATCATGTAATAAGTGCCTAGTTTTTCATTTGTATTGTATGTATTACATTGAGTATGAGCAAATTAGTAATAAGCTATTCATAAGTGTATAATAACGATAAAGTGCATATATAAGATTTGATATGAAAACAAGTAACTATTGATATGATTTTTATGGAAAAAACCTCAAAAATTGAATAGGAATAATTTCTAAAAATGTCCATCGTAATAACGTCAATAAACGGCCACACACCACAATAATAATTATTTTAATTAATCATATTTGCAACTTGGAACGATCGCTACTCAGTCTTAAATTGTATTAAAAAATAGATTTTTTTTCTCTTAAAAAGCACGTAGAACAATACATATTTTAATAGAGTTATAACAAATTAAAGATCAATCATAAAGTATTTTTTATATTTATCCTTATACCTTATAAGGATATCAATTTTATTTTTTAAATATCAACATTCATAATTAGCCAGCTTATTTAATAGATAATGATCGAATTAAGAAAATGGCTGGTCGACAGCAACAAACAAGTTAAATATAAAGCCCCATAAGGAATTTATGATCACTACAGTTGAAATAAAATTATTTATGGGTGATATTATTTAATATTACCCGAAAGTAACAACGGAGTCAGAAAAAAAAATTAGATATAGAAATTATTGTTATTTCTTAAATTAATAATAAAAAAGCTGTTTTTAGTGGATAATACTTTAAGTAGTTCGTGATAAATCCCGTATGAATCACTCCGTACGAGTAAAGTGTAAATTATAGAAAAATAAAATAAAAAAGTAATCTAATTTTTAACAAATGTTGAAAAGTTTAACAAATTTTCGAAACCCTGTGGAAATATCAAAAACACTACATATTATTAATAGATCATTTATAGCTATAGACATCTACAAAAAAAAATTAGTTGCTTTCTGTATTCTCAATAGTTAATTAATCTCAATTAAATAGTAAGCAGTTTTTTATTGTTAACTTTGCGTTACAATTTGACCAATGAATGCTTATACATCTAATTAAAACCACAAATAAATTGTTTTAATTATTATTGTCGTTTGTTAATTTGCTTCTACGAATTAAAAAACATTTTAATATTAGTCAATTGTGAGTCCCATCATTTTTCAATTTATTTTTTCTTGCTGATACATAATAATTAAAAAAAAAAAATAGAACAGCAGGGTTGTTGCATAGTTGTGAGCGCGGGATATTTGAGACAAATATAGATGATATTTGACATCAATTATCATCACTGTAATAAAAACACTACGAAGCAATTCTGCTAAAATTTCACAATTTATATATTTTTAAAATACAAATGTCTGTGTTTAAAAATTTCACTGAAATATTAAATACTTGACGGACGGTGTAGCCGATTTGGTAACATGGCAGTGTCTGATGTGCACGATTTCGGATTCGAGACTCGGTCACAATTGGCTCCGTTTACTAAACGAATCATCAGTTTAGTAATTGGAGTTGCCATCCCTCTCTCTGGCGATGAATTAACTACTCATCCTGGAGTATACATGACTAAGAAACTCCATTTTAAAGAAGACCACAATTACCCTTAATGAGTCGTAAAAAATGAAAAAAAAGTAAATGCTTGTCAAATTATTTACTTAATTGAAAATAATATTTTTTTTGTAAAACTTGCGAATTTTTTTGTTTTGACAATCGATTGCTCAAAAATAATCGCCACGCCAATTTTATTTATTTTTATATTGTAGTATATTTCTAAAACTTTAATTATGATATAGGTTAAAAGTTGTAAGATCTTCCGGAATAATTTTTAAAATGTCCAAAATTGAGTTGGTTTTTCAAATGATCGGGGCTGATAGATTGAACTAGATTAAAATCGGGTTATTATTTTAAAGTATTATTTATTAAAATCGGTCTAGTGAGTGGTGAGAATTTTCATGGACAGTCATAAAACACAAAACAACAGAAAACCAATATCTTCTTAGCTTTGATCGAAGCTAATAGATTATATACTACCATAAAAATAGATTTTATATTTTCCTGATATAATTGATCATCTCTAAAATAAAAATGACTCAATGATCCATCAAACACTTTCACATATAGTATTAAAATATAGTTTCAATTTTTTCAATATACATTTCAATGTATACTACCTAATTACGTATAAAAAATAAAACAATAGACATTTATTCAATGTTACATAAACTGTCATTTGGGTAGAAGGCTTAAAGATTTTTCTGGACCAAAAAATAAAAAAAAATCATGTATGATATTAATTTTTTTCCGATTATTCATCAAAAGGTTAATTTAACACCAAACAACTTTAAATGAACTGGTTTCTATAAAATAAAAGTTAAATGCTGTTGTTTCCCGCCTTCCTCTCTTGAGATAAGGTACGTTTTATAGGTATGTTAACTCTTGTAATAACCCAACTTAACCATTAAAGAATTTAAGGCGTGTTTTCTTGTCGAGTTCAGACTAACTTAAGCAACTTTAACTGTATCAGCAAGTAGTGCATCTACTGGGCACGCTACATCTTTAGCTATTAATTATATAGTTGAACAAACAAATATATGTCTTAAGTTTATCAAAAAAACTATAAAATACACTCCATATAATATTATAATTGTGTAATTTGTAAGTGTATTAAAAAAAAATTTGATGGGAAGTATATAAAATAGTAATAACAGACGAATAGTCAGTAAGACGTTAGATTTTGGCCTTACTATTTTCAGTGGCGTATACAGAATTTTATGGTAGGAAAAGTCTTCAATATGTATAGTTTTTTAATTTTTTTTCAGTTACACTTTAAATAGAATCTGTGATTATTTTTCAAAAGCTAACATGTCAATTTTAATAATACTGCAGAAGAGTAGTATCAAACATAAAATTTCAATATTATCTCTACGTAATTGGACAACTTTTGATGTAATAGAAAAAACATCTCGGACGAAATTAATTTTTAAAATTTTTTTATTATGTTAAAATTCATCTTTCTCTATGAACATTAATGAAAATCTCAAAATCCCATTTTTATATTTTGGATATGAATCATAGAATTAAACATATTTTTATTTTATTTTAAGTCACTGATATAGTAAAAAATCATTTTTTTTTTTTTTATCCATTTTCATAAATATTTTGATTTCAGCTAGAATAATGGTTTAACTCAAAATTTTTATTCTCTGATCTACTAAGCAAACTAAATTTGATGATGGGAAACATTAAAAAGTAACTATTAAATTATTCGATAGTCACGAATAATAAAAGACTATTCTATTAATAAGAATATTTCATAGATATATTCTATCGTTTTTTGAATGATTTTAATCAAATATCTTCGTATTTTATGTAAAATTTATATAAATATCCGTTTTGTTTTACAACTTAAAATTATGTCTCGGTTGAGTTATTGGCCAGTATTCTATATAATAACTAAAAACACTTTTTTTACTATTTATAAGAAATATTATTATTAAATTATTTATTATAATTGAACAATGAAATTTTTAAAAAGACCGATGATTAACCAACTAAGAAAATTCATGCAGATTTTTTAATAATAACAATAAAATAATCCATATGATTTTTAAAGGGTACAGTATTGTCGTTATCACAATTAAACAAAAGTAAACACTTAAAATCACGTCCATTTTATTGGTATTATGTCTTTATAAGACAATTGAGTAGATATTGCTAAACAGAGAACAATGCACCGGGTATCAAGTGTAAAATAAGGCATTAGCATTTATGAATATTTTCTTTGAGAAAAAATAAATCTTTTCAATGAAACAAAAAAATTATCATTGATAATAAAAAAAAATTAATCATTTTAATAAGGTAAACAATCGTTAACATTTATCTTTTTACTATAATTATGTCTACTTAATAAAAATAATCGTTAACTTAATAGTTATAATATATATTTGAAAGTTTCTTTTAATACTTTTTAGTTTATATTAAAAATAAAGTATTCAAAAATGGTCATCGTTAAATAATTATAATGGGATTTTTGTTCTGGAAATTTTCATAAACTTAATTATAATAATATATCCAGCATTGATCTCTTGTGGCTATTAATATTTTAAATATATTTATAATTTTTAATTTAGTTATAATAATTTCGGGCATAAATTAATCTTGCGTAAATTAAATAGCATGCATTATCCAATTGAAACAAATAGTACAGGTGTAAAATATACATTTTGATATGCTCTCGAATTCTAATAATTCTCGCTAAGCAATAAAACATATTAATAGAATTAGGTAGACAAAGGCGTTGTTCAGTTTACTGGAAGTTTCAGTTGCAAGTTTAATCAGTGGTTCAGTCTACTAAACACGTGTGAACGTCGTAGTCGAGTAATCGTATGGTACATGGTTTTTAAATTTTTGGCGTCTTAACTAATATCGACTAAACTTAACTCGAATTTCAAACTGTATTCACTTATATAATTTTTATTAAAAATAAATTTATAAAAAAGATTTTAGAGTAAGTACATTTAGTATGATTAATTTATAAAATGACACATTATATATAATCTCATGTGAAACCAAACCAATACTAATTTATAAAATTCAATTGATCTTTGTATTTTTATATTATATAATATGTGTACAGCCCTAATATGTAAAAGGGTTTAAACGAATTTTTCATTTTTATAGGAACTGAAGAATAAAACATTTTTCTACCTTCAATAATTGAATTGTCACATACTATACAATAGAACATTATTTTTGTGGACACAACTTAGCCTACTAACGTTTTCCTTAAATGAATGTGTTTTATAATATATTTAAAGAAATAGTATTATAACCAAAATGTTGCTTCTCATAACAGTTTCAGAATCTCGCAAAATGAAATTAATATAATTTTTGTCAAAACGACCACTAACCATTCTATTATCTTTAAAAGCTCATATTTTAATAATACCTCTATATACAAATATAATATAATATACAATATTATTTAATACATATATATATAAAGTGTATATTAGTGTACACTAAAGTGAAGTTAAGTTAGGTTAAGTGAACATTTATTATTAGTTAGCTTTAATAGGTTTGAATCAAAATTCAAATAAGTAATATTCATAATAACGTTACCTATAGTTGATTTTATCAAAAAACATATTGAAGTATAGTTAAATTAAAATAAAAAACCCAACACAGTGGAATCGCGGCACAGTGGGGACGTGGCATAGTTGGGTCAAATATAATGATATCTGACAGTCATTAAAATCACTATCATAAGAAACGCTTCTATGCAAATCTGTAGGTAGTGTTTAATTTTAAAAAATTGGTGGATTATTCCGAAAACTACATGATCTCCTATTTCCATATTTATATCCTAATTACAAGTTTTATGATTTATAAGTGTAATATATAAATAAATATTAAGTATAGCAATTAAAAATAGTATGAAATATATATATATATATATATAAATATATAAAGGGAAATGGTTTTATTTAAAAAAAAGAGTATAACAAATGTAAATAGTATTTAAATAATATTTATTATAAAAAAATTGTATTGATCGATATATTTTTCATTTATTTTAAAGTTATAGCATTATAAAATTAAAAATATAAAAAAGAATTTTTTTATTAATTTTGATGTTAGTTTTCACTATGAAAACAAAATAAAGTCTGAAATTTTTTTTCCATATTAAAGTATACTACATTAGCTTTAATTTAAGATATATATAAAAGTGTCAGTATTTCCGCAACACTTTCAAAAGTAAATTGAAAAAGTTAATTTTTTGTGAAAAAGTTACCATTTTGAAACCCTTCATTTGGGCTTGTTAAGGGTTAAATGTTAACAAAAATATATAAAATGATAAGTGAATACCTAAGGTATCTATAAAAAAAAAGTTATATTGATTCGGTCATTTTTAAAAAAGTTATGGCAATTTTAAGTAAAAAAAAATTGAAAAAATATCGAAAATTAGCGATTTTTAAATATGTAATTTTTTGGATAATTAACTAAAATAATTAGTTATGATATTAAAAGTACTTTTAATTACTACATAACAATGGTAAAATTAAAACTACTTGATATTTATTTTAATATTTTAAATTCGAATGAAATTTTCTTATTATTGAACAATAAGGGTCTAATAGTAGAATATAGGTTAAAAACCCAGCACAGGGGGGTCGCGGCACAGTGGTGACGTGGCATAGTTGGATCAAGTAAATGATATCTGACAGTGATTAAAATCACTATCAAAAATAAACGCTTCGATGCAAATCTTTAGATAGTGTTTAATTTTAAAAAAATTGGTGTTTTATTCCAAAAGCTACTTGATCTGCTGGTTCCTTATTAATATC